AGTAGGCACATAATTAATGACTTAAAAATGATTCAATTAAAAAAAAACTTACAAAAATAAAATACTGAGAAAGGATTAATTTGTTTGTGTTTCTTGGCTGCAGGATTACTGTAACGAGCGTATTATTCAGTTACAAGTGTAGGGTATAAGTATACAATTGCATATAAAGAGTGAGTATTCGGTAATAACGAGAAGGTTATAAGATAACATAGTAACAATCAGTAAAATAAGATTTTATTTTGATATATAAACCATAAATGTTCTGAGTAGGACAGTTCCGAATTGCTTTTTAGATTTATTACCGTATAGTTGGAGAGTTTTGATCGATTTTCACGAGCTATTTAACGTCTTTCATAGTTACCTTATATTTCTTTATAAAACACCTAATTCAGACTTATCATTTTGTGAATGAAGTTAAATTAAAACATCACCTATTATGTTATCTATTAAGTAGCTTTAGTTATATGTCAGAAGTATAATTTCGCCACTGATGATTATCGTTTATTACTCATTATTGAGAGGTTGGACGTCGATAGTATATCCTGTTATGCATTTCACCTTGATAATTAGTAAGTATACCAAGAATAGTGTTTTTACATGAGTAAGACGGCTGAAACCTTTATCTAAGAAAAATTGAGCCAAAGTATGTTTTTGTATCTTTTAAGACTAATGTAGTTAAACACAGACGTGTTAACTCGTATAATGGGTTTTAATGCATAAAAATATACTATATAATAGCTTTTTACCTTTAACACTTCTTTTGCAACTTAATTGATGGCCTTTGAATTAAAGGCACACAAATCACTAGTTACGATCAACTTGTTTTAAGTGAATAATTATGATATTATTGACCTTTGTATTGTTCTCTAAAATTGTCTTAGATTCTAATCATGCATAAATAATTTCAGATAATTACAAAAAGATTTACTTGATTTGGAACTCTGAGTTGTATATAAGGCAAATACCAACGAGTTCCGATTTTGCTCCTCTGATTTGCAACAAAGAAAGTAAAGGCCAGATGCTACGGTCACACCTGTTTCAACGATCCAGAGGTATTGATTGTTGACTGAACTTTTTTCATAACAAGTTATACATATTTTATAGGGAAAACACAAACTATAGGAGTGATTTGTTGCTGGACGTTGAATAGCTCAAAATCAAAACTCAAGAAAACTAAAACAAATACACTTATCAACGATGCAAAGGCTATTAAAACTTAAATTTCACGATTAATATAACGATATCAACTGTGAGACTAGTAAAAAAATAACATAAATAACTTTACGTTTAAGGTATTTGTATAAAGTAAATAATTATAAAATTATTTAATAAAAAAAATTTAAAACTGTAAAATTGTGACTTTTTTCCTTATGTCTTAGAATACACTTGACAAAAATATACATCAGAAAAAATAATTCTTCAAATATTAAATCTTTGGAAACATGTACGATTCCAAATCGTTACCTACAAAAGTAGTCCTTGACGTGATTCCTTACTTACACAATGCTTACGGAAGAAGCCCATTTCCGCTAGCAGATCAAATCCTTGTAACTCGCTCCTGAACTACCTAAAGATTTCTGATATTCGCCCAATATCTACCAATATTGGACTACTTGGATGCTTAAGATGTAAGATATATCTTTTACAGATTTGTATGGTGTGGATTATATAACTAGAATATTAACTGAAGTAGGCATTTCACATTTTGTGAAAGCAGAATACAGCGTAATAAAAAAAATTGGTTTAGTAAAGCCCAATTGTATTGGGGTAGTAGTGTGCTAAATGTATATATTTTTTATCATCAAGGATCTAAACATTTCTGAAAATGTTGCAAAAAGCGTAGAATACAATATTTAAGACTGATATTATTGTATTGTGTAGGCAATGTCTTGCGATATCACGAAATCTGTCTTACGTAACAATGTTCCATAAACGTTCGAAAATTATGAACCTAAATACATTATTTACTAAATACATTAAACAGTGTCGGTCATGTTCCAGCTAATTTTAATAGGCCAAAGAGATATTCGTGGTTTTTGTTTATTTATTGACACCAGAAAATAAACTATGTCCTTTTCAATTTCATAGACAACAATCATTTCATTCCGTCCTGTTCAGAAACTAAGTTCCTGGGCGTTCACATTGACAGCCAGTTGAAATTCACACCCCACGTAGATTCTATTTGTAATAAATTGAGTTAAAATATATTCTTATTAAGAAATTTCGCAACATTTATAGGGTCTAAAGTTCTAGTGGTGGCTTACTACGGGCTGGTTTTTCCTTTTCTTTCATATGCAGTTGCAGTTTGGAGACATCAGTGTATAAATTCTAAAATAGTTTTTAAAACTACAAAAGAGAGTCATTAGAACAGTTTTTAAGAAGCGTCGTAAATTCCCTGTAAAACACTTTTTGCTAACTATAAAATTATTACTTTTCGTCCATCTAAACTGTCTTGTATTTGTTAAGACAAATATCGACCTTTTTCAAAATCTGTCTCACCCTATCTCCTATAGTTTGACAAGCCGGTCTAAAACCCAAAACAGCTTTTTTTGAAAATCACTTGTTTTACAGTGGCATTCAACTGTTCAATGCACTGCCCACTCCCCTGAAGATGGATAGTGTGGACAAATTTGGCAAAGGGGTTAAGTGTCTTCTTGTGTCACCCTGTTCTTACAGTGTTGAAGACTTTTTAAGAAAACAATGATCTTTGGTTTTTAGATTTTATCTATAAAAAACTATTGATTTCATTTGTTAAAGAGACATTTTGTTGACGCTATTATGCAGTTTGTAACTGTCAAAAATAATGATATTTGAGTTTGAGTTTGAGTATAAACAGTTAGTGAGATATTTGAAAAAAAACTATTGCAAGGGATACACGGTTTTGTTTATGAAGAAGCCATTTATTCAAACGAGTTCAGTCTGAAATCGTTATACAGAGGATCAGTGAAGCTCCAGAGAGATCTAAAATTTGCATGAAGCTGTTTTCCTAAGAGATTTCAATACCACGTAAACAGACACATACACTTTTATGTGATACATATCAATTTCAAAGAATATATCTAAATTGTTCGTCTCATATAATTGAAACTGGTATTATACCATAAGATCAATGTTTTTATATAATTAAACTTGGTGCCTTGATAAAAAAAGCGTTACCCTGCACTAATTTTGGTTTGGATGAAATTTGGTTTGAAGGTGTAAGGCGGGATAAATTCGAATGAGTTCACGAACTTGCATGATCGGACCGGACGACTGGGCCATGGGAACAGGGTTGTACGGGGGGGGGGGGGGGGTGGTATGGGGTAAAAATTTGTTTTGAAAAGAGAGGTTTGAAGTTTTCAGGTATGCTTACAGTACTTAACAAACAAACTTTTTACAGGATTGTCAAAAATTTTAGGAAACCAGAATGTAAGAAACCGAAACTGGGAGACCTTACATACTACTTAGAGAGACAATTACTTTTTATTTGAGCTTGCTAAAACACCATGTTAAATCTAATTTACAACAAACTTGAGTGGAAAGTTTTTCGAGTGCAGTAAAGGTATTTGCACTCGCGATATATTTTTCTTAAGGTTACTATAATGTATATTAATTAGTCTTTAAGAAAATTAACATGGTTTTAGGTTAGGTTAAATCCAAGCGTTGAACGACACGAAAAACGCTGCACCGTATTCGTAGTATCTTTAGGTGTTCCAACTTATTTTCAAGCGTACACGTAAAAGCACAACGTTTTGTGTTGTTTGGTTGGAATACTGGAGTGCGGCAAAATGAATGCGGCAAAAGAAAATGAGTGTAGCAAAAGTAAGTAAATGCAACAATTAGCCACTTGGCGTGCTATAATCAGTGCAAGAAAGCCCAATTCGTCAGGTAACTGTAGGAAAAAGGATTTTTCGTTTCATTTAATTTCATTTGACAAGTATAGGATTAAATATTTTGGTATATTTTCACTACTTTTTGTAATGCAAGTGACCTAGGGAGGTTGAAGGTTTCATACGAGATTACTAGTAAATGTTGATGGAATACATGTGCATGTGGGCAATTTATAAATATGATAACTATTTTAAATTATTGAACAATTTACTTTCTTTTATTTTATGCATCAACAGTTTGGCTAACAAAGTTCAACATAGATTGAGCACTTATTTAGTAAACGTAGATTTTTAAATGGACGCATTCAAAATAAACGATGTTTAAAAGCGGTAAACCAAAACTACAGGTGCCTAAATACGTTACTTTTATTATGAAGCATAGTTATACATAAGTAAATGATAGAATTAAATACCAAAATAGTAAAAAAATACATGATCGTAAATTTATTTGTTCACTTAAAACGCACAAACATACTGTTAATTGCTTAATGGGAATAAGCCGAAACCAATCATCAGGATAATGGGATGTAATGCACTCTGCCTGTGATTTAAAAGGATCACCTAAATGATCCAATCAGTATGTGTGAATCAATTATAGTTACCCAAAGTCATAAATATTCTAGTAGTAATTTCATTGTAGTTCATACGTGTGTAACGATCCCTCATATGCATATTTTCAACATTCTTACATTGAAAATTCTTCATAAACATTCACGTTTATAGATCAAATATAAATTAGAGTCACCACTGGTTTAAAGTAGCAACTGAGGAATTCTTCGGATACTTAAGTTCAAATTGTACCATTTAGATTACTTTTAGCAATGCAATAGAGTGATGAAATAGGTCTCAGCCCAAGTTTATCTGTGGAACTATCGCAAAAACATGACTATGAAATTTCTATGCGTAGATGACGTCACTTAAATATATTTATAATTAATATTTTGATATTCTCATTAAGTTAAATCAAATTTACACTTTTATCATATGAAAAATATAATATACGATTGTATAATGACAGTCAGTAATAGTTTAAATAAATAAAAACTAAAATAACACCTGACTTCATTGACATTTATTATTATATTACTTCTCTTAAAATTACAAATAATGTTTTTAATTAGGAATCAGGATGGTACAAACACGTTTTATTAGAATTATAAATACAAATTAGTACAAACATCTATATTCATCTTACTCTAGAACAGTAGTTTGAACTTTAATCACTAGGAGAAGAGAGATCCATGCACTCATTTCGCCAATCTGTCATGGCGACGGTGTACTTGCTGAGGTGAGATAAAAACACATCCCTATCACACGGCGAAGCACAAGCAGGTAGCTCGATCACCTCCGGGGGGCTGTAGCTGTGAACTCTGCCGTCAATCTTCAGTACCTACACAAGTTTGATGAGTATAGTATAATACTGTGCTTACTACGGTGAGGTAAAACACATGTTTATCACTCGGTGAAGGAGAAGCAGGTAACTCGATCACCTCCAGGGGGCTGTAGCTGTGAACTCTGCCGTCAATCTTCAGTACCTACACAAGTTTGATGAGTATAGTATAATACTGTGCTTACTACGGTGAGGTAAAACACATGTTTATCACTCGGTGAAGGAGAAGCAGGTAACTCGATCACCTCCAGGGGGCTGTAGCTGTGAACTCTGCCGTCAATCTTCAGTACCTACACAAGTTTGATGAGTATAGTATAATACTGTGCTTACTACGGTGAGGTAAAACACATGTTTATCACTCGGTGAAGGAGAAGCAGGTAACTCGATCACCTCCAGGGGGCTTTAGCTGTGAACTCTGCCGTCAATCTTCAGTACCTACACAAGTTTGATGAGTATAGTATAATACTGTGCTTACTACGGTGAGGTAAAACACATGTTTATCACTCGGTGAAGGAGAAGCAGGTAACTCGATCACCTCCAGGGGGCTTTAGCTGTGAACTCTGCCGTCAATCTTCAGTACCTACACAAGTTTGATGAGTATAGTATAATACTGTGCTTACTACGGTGAGGTAAAACACATGTTTATCACTCGGTGAAGGACAAGCAGGTAACTCGATTAACTCCAGGGGGCTGTAGCTGTGAACTCTTCCGTCAATCTTCAGTACCTACACAAGTTTGATGAGTATAGTATAATACTGTGCTTACTACGGTGAGGTAAAACACATGTTTATCACTCGGTGAAGGAGAAGCAGGTAACTCGATTAACTCCAGGGGGCTGTAGCTGTGAACTCTGCCGTCAATCTTCAGTACCTACACAAGTTTGATGAGTATAGTATAATACTGTGCTTACTACGGTGAGGTAAAACACATGTTTATCACTCGGTGAAGGAGAAGCAGGTAACTCGATTAACTCCAGGGGGCTGTAGTTGTGAACTCTGCCGTCAATCTTCAGTACCTACACAAGTTTGGTGAGTATAGTATAATACTGTGCTTACTACGGTGAGGTAAAACACATGTTTATCACTCGGTGAAGGAGAAGCAGGTAACTCGATTAACTCCAGGGGGCTGTAGCTGTGAACTCTGCCGTCAATCTTCAGTACCTACACAAGTTTGATGAGTATAGTATAATACTGTGCTTACTACGGTGAGGTAAAACACATGTTTATCACTCGGTGAAGGAGAAGCAGGTAACTCGATTAACTCCAGGGGGCTGTAGCTGTGAACTCTGCCGTCAATCTTCAGTACCTACACAAGTTTGATGAGTATAGTATAATACTGTGCTTACTACGGTGAGGTAAAACACATGTTTATCACTCGGTGAAGGAGAAGCAGGTAACTCGATTAACTCCAGGGGGCTGTAGCTGTGAACTCTGCCGTCAATCTTCAGTACCTACACAAGTTTGATGAGTATAGTATAATACTGTGCTTACTACGGTGAGGTAAAACACATGTTTATCACTAGGTGAAGGAGAAGCAGGTAACTCGATTAACTCCAGGGGGCTGTAGTTGTGAACTCTGCCGTCTATCTTCAGTACCTACACAAGTTTGATGAGTATAGTATAATACTGTGCTTACTACGGTGAGGTAAAACACATGTTTATCACTCGGTGAAGGAGAAGCAGGTAACTCGATCACCTCCAGGGGGCTGTAGCTGTGAACTCTGCCGTCAATCTTCAGTACCTACACAAGTTTGATGAGTATAGTATAATACTGTGCTTACTACGGTGAGGTAAAACACATGTTTATCACTCGGTGAAGGAGAAGCAGGTAACTCGATCACCTCCAGGGGGCTTTAGCTGTGAACTCTGCCGTCAATCTTCAGTACCTACACAAGTTTGATGAGTATAGTATAATACTGTGCTTACTACGGTGAGGTAAAACACATGTTTATCACTCGGTGAAGGAGAAGCAGGTAACTCGATCACCTCCAGGGGGCTGTAGCTGTGAACTCTGCCGTCAATCTTCAGTACCTACACAAGTTTGATGAGTATAGCATAATACTGTGCTTACTACGGTGAGGTAAAACACATGTTTATCACTCGGTGAAGGAGAAGCAGGTAACTCGATCACCTCCAGGGGGCTGTAGCTGTGAACTCTGCCGTCAATCGTCAGTACCTACACAAGTTTGATGAGTATAGCATAATACTGTGCTTACTACGGTGAGGTAAAACACATGTTTATCATTAGGTGAAGGAGAAGCAGGTAACTCGATCACCTCCAGGGGGCTTTAGCTGTGAACTCTGCCGTCAATCTTCAGTACCTACACCAGTTTGATGAGTATAGCATAATACTGTGCTTACTACGGTGAGGTAAAACACATGTTTATCACTCGGTGAAGGAGAAGCAGGTAACTCGATTAACTCCAGGGGGACTGTAGCTGTGAACTCTGCCGTCAATCTTCAGTACCTACACAAGTTTGATGAGTATAGCATAATACTGTGCTTACTACGGTGAGGTAAAACACATGTTTATCACTCGGTGAAGGAGAAGCAGGTAACTCGATTAACTCCAGGGGGACTGTAGCTGTGAACTCTGCCGTCAATCTTCAGTACCTACACCAGTTTGATGAGTATAGCATAATACTGTGCTTACTACGGTTAGGTAAAACACATGTTTATCACTCGGTGAAGGAGAAGCAGGTAACTCGATTAACTCCAGGGGGACTGTAGCTGTGAACTCTGCCGTCAATCTTCAGTACCTACACAAGTTTGATGAGTATAGCATAATACTGTGCTTACTACGGTGAGGTAAAACACATGTTTATCATTAGGTGAAGGAGAAGCAGGTAACTCGATCACCTCCAGGGGGCTTTAGCTGTGAACTCTGCCGTCAATCTTCAGTACCTACACAAGTTTGATGAGTATAGCATAATACTGTGCTTACTACGGTGAGGTAAAACACATGTTTATCACTCGGTGAAGGAGAAGCAGGTAACTCGATTAACTCCAGGGGGACTGTAGCTGTGAACTCTGCCGTCAATCTTCAGTACCTACACCAGTTTGATGAGTAAAGTATAATACTGTGCTTACTACGGTGAGGTAAAACACATGTTTATCATTAGGTGAAGGAGAAGCAGGTAACTCGATCACCTCCAGGGGGCTTTAGCTGTGAACTCTGCCGTCAATCTTCAGTACCTACACAAGTTTGATGAGTATAGTATAATACTGTGCTTACTACGGTGAGGTAAAACACATGTTTATCACTCGGTGAAGGAGAAGCAGGTAACTCGATTAACTCCACGGGGCTGTAGCTGTGAACTCTGCCGTCAATCTTCAGTACCTACACAAGTTTGGTGAGTATAGTATAATACTGTGCTTACTACGGTGAGGTAAAACACATGTTTATCACTCGGTGAAGGAGAAGCAGGTAACTCGATTAACTCCAGGGGGCTGTAGCTGTGAACTCTGCCGTCAATCTTCAGTACCTACACAAGTTTGATGAGTATAGTATAATACTGTGCTTACTACGGTGAGGTAAAACACATGTTTATCACTCGGTGAAGGAGAAGCAGGTAACTCGATCACCTCCAGGGGGCTGTAGCTGTGAACTCTGCAGTCAATCTTCAGTACCTACACAAGTTTGATGAGTATAGTATAATACTGTGCTTACTGCGGTGAGGTAAAACACATGTTTATCACTCGGTGAAGGAGAAGCAGGTAACTCGATTAACTCCAGGGGGACTGTAGCTGTGAACTCTGCCGTCAATCTTCAGTACCTACACCAGTTTGATGAGTAAAGTATAATACTGTGCTTACTACGGTGAGGTAAAACACATGTTTATCACTCGGTGAAGGAGAAGCAGGTAACTCGATTAACTCCAGGGGGACTGTAGCTGTGAACTCTGCCGTCAATCTTCAGTACCTACACCAGTTTGATGAGTAAAGTATAATACTGTGCTTACTACGGTGAGGTAAAACACATGTTTATCATTAGGTGAAGGAGAAGCAGGTAACTCGATCACCTCCAGGGGGCTATAGCTGTGAACTCTGCCGTCAATCTTCAGTACCTACACAAGTTTGATGAGTATAGTATAATACTGTGCTTACTACGGTGAGGTAAAACACATGTTTATCACTCGGTGAAGGAGAAGCAGGTAACTCGATTAACTCCACGGGGCTGTAGCTGTGAACTCTGCCGTCAATCTTCAGTACCTACACAAGTTTGGTGAGTATAGTATAATACTGTGCTTACTACGGTGAGGTAAAACACATGTTTATCACTCGGTGAAGGAGAAGCAGGTAACTCGATTAACTCCAGGGGGCTGTAGCTGTGAACTCTGCCGTCAATCTTCAGTACCTACACAAGTTTGATGAGTATAGTATAATACTGTGCTTACTACGGTGAGGTAAAACACATGTTTATCACTCGGTGAAGGAGAAGCAGGTAACTCGATTAACTCCAGGGGGCTGTAGCTGTGAACTCTGCCGTCAATCTTCAGTACCTACACACGTTTGATGAGTATAGTATAATACTGTGCTTACTACGGTGAGGTAAAACACATTTTTATCACTCGGTGAAGGAGAAGCAGGTAACTCGATCACCTCCAGGGGGCTGTAGCTGTGAACTCTGCCGTCAATCTTCAGTACCTACACCAGTTTGATGAGTAAAGTATAATACTGTGCTTACTACGGTGAGGTAAAACACATGTTTATCACTCGGTGAAGGAGAAGCAGGTAACTCGATTAACTCCAGGGGGACTGTAGCTGTGAACTCTGCCGTCAATCTTCAGTACCTACACCAGTTTGATGAGTAAAGTATAATACTGTGCTTACTACGGTGAGGTAAAACACATGTTTATCATTAGGTGAAGGAGAAGCAGGTAACTCGATCACCTCCAGGGGGCTTTAGCTGTGAACTCTGCCGTCAATCTTCAGTACCTACACAAGTTTGATGAGTATAGTATAATACTGTGCTTACTACGGTGAGGTAAAACACATGTTTATCACTCGGTGAAGGAGAAGCAGGTAACTCGATTAACTCCACGGGGCTGTAGCTGTGAACTCTGCCGTCAATCTTCAGTACCTACACAAGTTTGGTGAGTATAGTATAATACTGTGCTTACTACGGTGAGGTAAAACACATGTTTATCACTCGGTGAAGGAGAAGCAGGTAACTCGATTAACTCCAGGGGGCTGTAGCTGTGAACTCTGCCGTCAATCTTCAGTACCTACACAAGTTTGATGAGTATAGTATAATACTGTGCTTACTACGGTGAGGTAAAACACATGTTTATCACTCGGTGAAGGAGAAGCAGGTAACTCGATTAACTCCAGGGGGACTGTAGCTGTGAACTCTGCCGTCAATCTTCAGTACCTACACAAGTTTGATGAGTATAGCATAATACTGTGCTTACTACGGTGAGGTAAAACACATGTTTATCATTAGGTGAAGGAGAAGCAGGTAACTCGATCACCTCCAGGGGGCTTTAGCTGTGAACTCTGCCGTCAATCTTCAGTACCTACACAAGTTTGATGAGTATAGCATAATACTGTGCTTACTACGGTGAGGTAAAACACATGTTTATCACTCGGTGAAGGAGAAGCAGGTAACTCGATTAACTCCAAGGGGACTGTAGCTGTGAACTCTGCCGTCAATCTTCAGTACCTACACCAGTTTGATGAGTAAAGTATAATACTGTGCTTACTACGGTGAGGTAAAACACATGTTTATCATTAGGTGAAGGAGAAGCAGGTAACTCGATCACCTCCAGGGGGCTTTAGCTGTGAACTCTGCCGTCAATCTTCAGTACCTACACAAGTTTGATGAGTATAGTATAATACTGTGCTTACTACGGTGAGGTAAAACACATGTTTATCACTCGGTGAAGGAGAAGCAGGTAACTCGATTAACTCCACGGGGCTGTAGCTGTGAACTCTGCCGTCAATCTTCAGTACCTACACAAGTTTGGTGAGTATAGCATAATACTGTGCTTACTACGGTGAGGTAAAACACATGTTTATCACTCGGTGAAGGAGAAGCAGGTAACTCGATTAACTCCAGGGGGCTGTAGCTGTGAACTCTGCCGTCAATCTTCAGTACCTACACAAGTTTGATGAGTATAGTATAATACTGTGCTTACTACGGTGAGGTAAAACACATGTTTATCACTCGGTGAAGGAGAAGCAGGTAACTCGATCACCTCCAGGGGGCTGTAGCTGTGAACTCTGCCGTCAATCTTCAGTACCTACACAAGTTTGATGAGTATAGTATAATACTGTGCTTACTGCGGTGAGGTAAAACACATGTTTATCACTCGGTGAAGGAGAAGCAGGTAACTCGATTAACTCCAGGGGGACTGTAGCTGTGAACTCTGCCGTCAATCTTCAGTACCTACACCAGTTTGATGAGTAAAGTATAATACTGTGCTTACTACGGTGAGGTAAAACACATGTTTATCACTCGGTGAAGGAGAAGCAGGTAACTCGATTAACTCCAGGGGGACTGTAGCTGTGAACTCTGCCGTCAATCTTCAGTACCTACACCAGTTTGATGAGTAAAGTATAATACTGTGCTTACTACGGTGAGGTAAAACACATGTTTATCATTAGGTGAAGGAGAAGCAGGTAACTCGATCACCTCCAGGGGGCTTTAGCTGTGAACTCTGCCGTCAATCTTCAGTACCTACACAAGTTTGATGAGTATAGTATAATACTGTGCTTACTACGGTGAGGTAAAACACATGTTTATCACTCGGTGAAGGAGAAGCAGGTAACTCGATTAACTCCACGGGGCTGTAGCTGTGAACTCTGCCGTCAATCTTCAGTACCTACACAAGTTTGGTGAGTATAGTATAATACTGTGCTTACTACGGTGAGGTAAAACACATGTTTATCACTCGGTGAAGGAGAAGCAGGTAACTCGATTAACTCCAGGGGGCTGTAGCTGTGAACTCTGCCGTCAATCTTCAGTACCTACACAAGTTTGATGAGTATAGTATAATACTGTGCTTACTACGGTGAGGTAAAACACATGTTTATCACTCGGTGAAGGAGAAGCAGGTAACTCGATTAACTCCAGGGGGCTGTAGCTGTGAACTCTGCCGTCAATCTTCAGTACCTACACACGTTTGATGAGTATAGTATAATACTGTGCTTACTACGGTGAGGTAAAACACATTTTTATCACTCGGTGAAGGAGAAGCAGGTAACTCGATCACCTCCAGGGGGCTGTAGCTGTGAACTCTGCCGTCAATCTTCAGTACCTACACCAGTTTGATGAGTAAAGTATAATACTGTGCTTACTACGGTGAGGTAAAACACATGTTTATCACTCGGTGAAGGAGAAGCAGGTAACTCGATTAACTCCAGGGGGACTGTAGCTGTGAACTCTGCCGTCAATCTTCAGTACCTACACCAGTTTGATGAGTAAAGTATAATACTGTGCTTACTACGGTGAGGTAAAACACATGTTTATCATTAGGTGAAGGAGAAGCAGGTAACTCGATCACCTCCAGGGGGCTTTAGCTGTGAACTCTGCCGTCAATCTTCAGTACCTACACAAGTTTGATGAGTATAGTATAATACTGTGCTTACTACGGTGAGGTAAAACACATGTTTATCACTCGGTGAAGGAGAAGCAGGTAACTCGATTAACTCCACGGGGCTGTAGCTGTGAACTCTGCCGTCAATCTTCAGTACCTACACAAGTTTGGTGAGTATAGTATAATACTGTGCTTACTACGGTGAGGTAAAACACATGTTTATCACTCGGTGAAGGAGAAGCAGGTAACTCGATTAACTCCAGGGGGCTGTAGCTGTGAACTCTGCCGTCAATCTTCAGTACCTACACAAGTTTGATGAGTATAGTATAATACTGTGCTTACTACGGTGAGGTAAAACACATGTTTATCACTCGGTGAAGGAGAAGCAGGTAACTCGATTAACTCCAGGGGGCTGTAGCTGTGAACTCTGCCGTCAATCTTCAGTACCTACACAAGTTTGATGAGTATAGTATAATACTGTGCTTACTACGGTGAGGTAAAACACATGTTTATCACTCGGTGAAGGAGAAGCAGGTAACTCGATTAACTCCAGGGGGCTTTAGCTGTAAACTCTGCCGTCAATCTTCAGTACCTACACAAGTTTGATGAGTATAGTATAATACTGTGCTTACTACGGTGAGGTAAAACACATGTTTATCACTCGGTGAAGGAGAAGCAGGTAACTCGATTAACTCCAGGGGGCTGTAGTTGTGAACTCTGCCGTCAATCTTCAGTACCTACACTAGTTTGATGAGTATAGTATAATACTGTGCTTACTACGGTGAGGTAAAACACATGTTTATCACTAGGTGAAGGAGAAGCAGGTAACTCGATTAACTCCAGGGGGCTGTAGTTGTGAACTCTGCCGTCAATCTTCAGTACCTACACTAGTTTGCTGAGTAAGTTCAAAGTTGTACTTGAAAGTAACATTGGTCAATGGGTCTTTTCCCCCACAACTGTACACACACTACACACCTACCTCTACTTGATACCCCGAAGGCAGCTGGGGATTGCTATGCAGTTCTACCAACAGTGAGGTGGCAGACCAAGGCATCAGCTGATCTCCCAGACCCAGAGCTGCCAAAACACACATCAGAGTCAGGTCGTTGCCCACGTGGAGTGTCGCTCGCAAAGAGTCTTCCTTGTCTGAACGAGACTTTCGCTTCAGCAGATCCGCTATCTTGTCCAAAAGCATACCTGAAAAGGGAAAGAGTACATCAAAATTCTTGTGAAAATTTAAGGAAGATTAACACTTTAAGGGATGATTTTAACTGATCATTAACAATGGGCCAAATATCTAAGAGTGTCATAGGTAAACAACAGTTTTATGTGACTGTCAGAGAATGTTATTATTTTTTTTTTTAATAAATATAAAAAAAGTATTATTTATTTTTGCTTGGAACATATGGGTGGGCATAACCAGTGACTACACCAAAAACATAGGTTTTACGCCAAAGTTAAAGCCAAGCCTACATCAAAATCCAGTATACTAGTAGAAAATATGAAAAGTTTTGCAAAACTTTGGAGGCCACAATGATTTAGCCAAGTTAACTAAACTAGTTTCTTACAACTTATAATTGAAAAAGAACCCATTTGTTGAAGGGATATCCAAATCACAATTCTTTGTTGTTAACAAAGAACTACAATTTGTGTTATTAAAAGTAAATTGGAATAAAATGTACATATAAATAAAAAACAATAATACAAATAAAAAAAATAATTAAAATTAAATTTAAATTTTCTTTAACAGGAAATTTGCATTTATCAATTATAATATACTAACACTCAGATATGTTCAACGTTCGTATAATAACAAGGCGAATCCCAACCTTTATATTATACAGCCGGATGTGTAACTAGTAACGTATACTAATGTTTGGGCACTTCTAGATGAGCTAGAGACGTGAAATTTTCGGTGTTTTGAAGGTCTAGTGCCCAGACCCCCGGGAAAAATGTGAAAAGTGGCATTTTCCTCTTCCAACCCCCCCTAAATTAACGATTTTCCCCCCATGTTATTCTTATGGGAAATAACGTTGAAAAACACCAATTTTCGTACGCTCATCTGAACCGTTTAGAAACGTGCTAGAGACTTGGAATTTGCGTAGTATTGTACTATGGGATCTTAAATTACCGGTAATATCCTTAAAAACCCCATTTTCAAAATTCTACCCCCCCCAAAAAAATCCATAAAAATTTCGGTTTTCGGAAAAACATGTTTTTTTAAAACGGCTGTAGCTCGAAAACCGTAAGAGCTAGAATCGATTTGAGGAAAAATCGTGAGTTCGAAATTAAATTTTCTACAAGACAGTTTTGTCTGAGAAGGCGTCATATCGAAATTCGCACTCCTTCACCTTCAAAAAACGCTCTAACTCCAAAAATTGAGAAAATCCTCTATTTTTTACGTGTTTTTAATTTTTAAAACGACTTTTCGTATATATATTTCTACTTTTTATGCTCCCAACATTTAAAGGAATGTCCCTAGAGTGACCTTCAATAATTTTAACCTACAAAAAAAATTCAAAATGGCGGATTTTTAATAAAAAAGATTGTTTTTTAATGTATTTCTTATGGAGAATTAACATGCGTCGACAGGCAAACTAGACGTAAACGTCAGTAGGTGAAATATGGGCGTTTGGTGACAGAAAAAACATTTTTGTCACTTCTAGAGTAGCTAGCGAGCTGAAATTTTTGTTTAAAGGTTCGTCTGGGTACCAAACCACCCAGAGAGTCCCAAAATTTAGTTTTTCCAACTGAAACCCGCCAAAAGAAATCCCGTAAAACCCTAGTTTTTTTTGGGAAAAACAGGTTTTTTTTAAAACTGCTGTAGCTTGAATACGGTAAGAGCTAGAATCAATTTGAGGGAAAATCGTAGGTTCAGAATTAAATTTTCTACAAGACAGTTTTCTTTAAGAAGGGGTCATATCGAAAATCTGACTCCTTCACATTCAAAAAACGCCCTAATTCGAAAAATTGTAAAAATTCTTGATTTTTTGGTGTTTTTAATTTATAAAACGACTTTTCGTACATATATTTTGTACTTTTTATGGTCTTAACGTTAAAAGAAAGTCCCTTGAGTGACCTTCTATAATTTTAACATACTAAAAAATTTTAAATGGCGGGTTTTTATTCAAAAAGGTACTTTTTAACGCTTTTTTAACTTTTTTTTAACTAATTATTATGGATATTTAGACCAATACCATTCTAACCCCCCCCCCCCACCCCTCTTTCATCCCCATTAAAAAAAAGGTAACCATTAGCAACAGGGTGCAGCACTAATATTTTTTTTAAATCTATGACAATAGCTAATTTGCAACCAAAAGGTGAGTGAGCGTAGCGAACGAGCTAACCTAAAGGCAAGTGAGCGCAGCGAACGAGCTCCAACCTAAAGGTGAGTGAGCGTAGCGAACGAGCTAACCTGAAGGCAAGTGAGCGAAGCGAACGAGCTCCAACCAAAATGTGAGTGAGCGTAGCGAACGAGCTAATCTGAAGGCAAGTTAGCGCAGCGAACGAGTTCCAACCTAAGGTGAGTGAGCGTAGCGAACGAGCTAACCTGAAGGCAAGTGAGCTCCAACCTAAAGGTGAGTGAGCGAAGCGAACGAGCTAACCTGAAGGCAAGTAAGCTCCAACCTAAAGGTGAGTGAGCGTAGCGAACGAGCTAACCTGAAGGCAAGTGAGCGCAGCGAACGAGCTCCAACCGAAAAGTGAGTGAGCGTAGCGAACGAACTAGGCTGAGGGCAAGTGAGCGCAGCGAACGAGCTAACCTGAAGGCAAGTGAGCGCAGCGAACGAGCCCCAACCTAAAGGTGGGTGAGCGTAGCGAACGAACTTCAACCAGGATTTGATTGAGCCATGCGTTTAGTTAAATTTTTTCCATCTCCACCCCAAATTCGTGTTTAAACCTGAAATTTTACCTTTTTTCCCTATTTTTGGTGATTTTTGACTACGCAAGGGGTCCATTCTTCATGTCGATAATTTTTACCAACCCCCCGCCCCCGAAGGGGGCTTAAGATTATTTAAAAATATTATTTTACCTCACTCTAACTCCTAAGACTTTATATCGATGCTTATTGATGTGAAGAAAGTTTTAGAGGTTGTGACTTAGCAAATTTAATTCATCATAGCACCGGCCCTACATCGAGACTCTAACATGCCAAGACTGGTTTGGTTTGCACTAAACAACCTCCCCTATGGAATACTTCGCAACTGCCAAGTTATCACTACGTCTTTTACGCAAAAAGCAAAAATGTTTCCGGACAACATCCTGTCCCCCGTGACAATTTCTCATCACGGCTACTATTAAAAGGGGGCCTAGTCTAATTAACTATACAGCCCGATGTGTAACTGACTGATCAGGTATACTAATGTTTGGCACTTCTAGATGAGCTAGAGACTTGAAATTTTCGGTGTTTTGTAGGTCTAGTGTCCAAACCCCCGGAAAAATTCCGAAAAGTAGCATTTTCCCCTTTCAACCCCCCCTAAATTGACAATTCCCCCCCCCTATGTTATTCTTATGGAAATAACATAGAAAATTCCCGACTTTGGTAAGCTCATCTGAACCGTTTAGAAAAGTGCTAGAGACTTGAAATTTGCGTAGTATTGCACTATGGGATCTTATGTTACCGGTGAAATTCGTAAAAACCCCATTTTCAAAATGCAACCCCCCCAAAAAAATTCCATTAAAAACGCCCTTTTTTGGGGAAAACATGTTTTTTAAAACAGCTGTAGCTCAAAAACGGTAAGTGCTAGAATCGATTTGAGGAAAAATCGTGAGTTTGGAATGAAATTTTCTACAAGACACCATTACGCGTTTTCGAAAATCGCACTCCTTCACCTTCAAAAAACGCCCTACTTCCAAAAATTGTGAAAATGCTCGATTTTTTTACGTGTTTTTTAATTTTTAAACGACTTTTCGTTCGTATATTTGTACCTTTTATGCTCCCAACATTGAAAGGAAAGTGCCTCAAGTGACCTTCTATAATTTTAACGTACTAAAAAAAATTAAAAATGGCGGATATTCAATAAAAAATATTATTTTTAACGTATTTCTTATGGAGAATTAACATGCTACGACAAGCAAACTAGAAGTAAACGTCAGTAGGTGAAATATGGGCGTTTGGCGACAGAAAAGCATTTTTGTCACTTCTAGAGTTGCTACGGAGCTGAAATTTTTTGTAAAGGTTTGTCTGGGTACCAACCATCCAGAAAGTCCCAAAATTTAGTTTTTTCCAACCGAAACCCATTAAAAGAAATCCCTTAAAACCCTAGTTTTTGGAAAAACACGTTTTTTTTAAAACTGCTGTAGCTCGAAAACGGTAAGAGCTAGAATCGAATTGAGGGGAAATTGTAGGTTCAGAATTAAATTTTCTACAAGACACTTTTCTCAAATAAGGGATCATATCGAAAATCTGACTCCTTCACCTTCAAAAAACGCCCTACTTCCAAAAATTGTGAAAATGCTCGATTTTTTTACGTGTTTTTAATTTTTAAAACGACTTTTAGTTCGTATATTTGTACTTTTTATGCTCCCAACATTGAAAGGAAAGTGCCTCAAGTGACCTTCTATAATTTTAAACGTACTAAAAAAAATTAAAAATGGCGGATATTCAATAAAAAATATTATTTTAACGTATTTCTTATGGAGAATTAACATGCTACGACAAGCAAACTAGAAGTAAACGTCAGTAGGTGAAATATGGGCGTTTGGCGACAGAAAAAGCATTTTTGTCACTTCTAGAGTTGCTACGGAGCTGAAATTTTTTGTAAAGGTTTGTCTGGGTACCAAACCATCCAGAAAGTCCCAAAATTTAGTTTTTTCCAACCGAAACCCATTAAAAGAAATCCCTTAAAACCCTAGTTTTTGGAAAAACACGTTTTTTTAAAACTGCTGTAGCTCGAAAACGGTAAGAGCTAGAATCGAATTGAGGGGAAATTGTAGGTTCAGAATTAAATTTTCTACAAGACACTTTTCTCATAAACGGGATCATATCGAAAATCTGACTCCCTTCACCTTCAAAAAACGCCCCTACTTCGAAAAATTGTGAAAATTCTTGATTTTTTTGGTGTTTTTAATTTATAAAACGACTTTTCGTACATATATATGTACTTTTTATGGTCTTAACGTTGAAAAGAAAATCCTTTGAGTGACCCTTCTATAATTTCAACGTGCTAAAAAATTTAAAATGGTGGGTTTTCATTCAA